TGGAGTATTAAGCACTTAATGGGAAAAGTAGCTTAACAGAGGAGTACGTTGGGCGTACATGCAGGTACGTGCAGCGTACACCACATTCAAGTAGTACACTTAGCGTATAGAAGAATACGCCCCAAGTACTCATCAGTTATGAGCTCGGTGTGTTTTGGGCATCGGGTTGGGCCAAGCAGTGGACTTTGGGTCTTTGGGCCTTAGTGGGCCATCAGAAGTCAGATGTTTTGGGCCAAGAATATGTTTGGGATTAGGGTAAGGCCCATTAGAAGAATTGGGCTCAATTAGCTAATTGGGCCATTAGTGGGCTTGGAAAGCCTACCTAGTGTTGGGCCTGTTTTTATTATGGATTTGGGCCTTAGATATGGACCAAGATAGACTAGGGTTAAAATGGTCATTTTATCCTAAGGGGGATTATTAATTTGGGCTCATTGTCATTTTGGGTAATGGTAGGTCGGGGAGTCAAGAGACCAGCAGTTCGGGGATCCGCCAGCTAGCAGCGAAGGGTTATTCGTAGGGTTCTACAGTCAACTTGTGAGGTGAGTCTCCTCATTGTTTGTATGGGTCTAAGGCACCAATGTCGGCCTATTTAGTTTATGCATGATAGGAAGACCCAGGGTTTAACCCTAGGCATTATGCATGAAAGACCACGGGGTGGCTCCTGGCACACAGTAAGTTATTATGTATGATAAGAAGACCTAGGGGTTAGCCCTAGGCAATATGTATGAAAGACCGGAGGTGGCTCCTGGCACACAGTATTCTATTATGTATGAAAGACCAGGAGGTGGCTCCTGGCACACTATATGCTGATTAGATAACTAGAGTAGTATGTATGTTAGTTGTCTTTGTGATGCTTGCATGGAAGACTAGAAGGTGGCTCTTGGCACTTGTTTGTAAAACCGAGGGGGTGGCCACAGGCTTAGCAAGAAAGACCACGTGTGGCTTGTGCCATAATGGCAAGACTATGTTTGGCACATAGCACCTTACTTGATTATGGATATGTTTGATATGTATGTCTCATTGTATGTATGGCATGTATGGCCCAGTTGATATGTATGGTATGTGATATTTGGAGAACTCACTAAGCTTCATGCTTACGGTTTACAGTTTTGGTTTTAGGTATCTTCAGTTTCCAAGAAATAGGAGCTCTGGACGATCGCAGCACATTCACCCATGTTATTTCGCATTATGTGATCTTTAGGATTAGACTCTGATATTTGTTTTAATTGAAATGTTTTCAATGTCTGGAACAAAGATATTAAAGGTTTTCTTATATTAAAAATGAAATTTTTGGCCTTAAATTTTGGGTTGTTACTAGATTTAATATGATTGAATTGACTAACTGATGTAAGTGATTGATCTGGTCAATCTAAGAAATTATATCAAGTGAGTGATATTAGTTTGGGAAATTGATCTAATTGACCAAAATAACTTATTTGAGTGGTTAATTTGAGAAATTATCCAATTAATATGAGTAATTCAAATGAGTGATTTGATCGTTTGATTTAAGAAATTGACACGAGAAATTAATTTGAGAAATTAATATAAGTGATTTGAATGATTGATTGAGAGATTAACATTGATTTGAGTGACTGATCTGAAAGAGTGATTTGAGTAATTGATGTTAATTAGAGCGATCGATCTAAGCGATTTGAAACTAATATGAGTGATTTATTAGAGTGAGTGATTTGGTTGTTTGAGTGATTTGTGTTTAAACTGAGTGAGTGACATTGATTTGAGTAACTAATCTGATTGATCTAAATGATTAATTTGAGTCACTGATATGAGTAAGTGGTGTAAGAAGTCAATCCATTTGATATGCACGATTCGAGTGATTAAATTGAGCGATTGATATTGATCAGAGTGATTAACACGAGTGATTGATTTGAAAATTTTAATTGAGTGATTCGAGTGATTGATGTAAGTGAATGGTATTGATTAGAGTGATTAATAATGATCTGAGTGATTGACCTAATTAAATTGAGTGATAAATCTGAGTGATCTGGGTAGAGTAACCATACTGAGAGTATTGTAGAGATTTATCGAATTAAGGTTGATTTGAATGTTTCGAGAACCGAAAGGGGAGACAAATTATTCTTATTTATTAAGTGTGGAAAGTTCTAGAGTATGGCCAGTTAAAATGATTGATTTACGATTTAAGTACCAAATGATGAGTGAGAAAAGGTTCAAGAGTAAACAACTAATTGCTAACACGATTATTATGTAATCTTCCCTCCCTATTTATTCTTCTATCCTCTAACCAACTTTAACCACTTTCCTCGATTTCTCCTTTTACCCTTCACTCTCTTCTCTAACCAACTTCTGCCACTTTCCTCAATTTCTCTTTTTTTTTTCTTCGAGAATAAACTTGGAGTGCCCTTGGTTTACTTGCATCCAGGCTAATAATTGATCATTTAGATTAATCACTCGCCTACATCTCTATCAATGTGACTTCCTTCTAAACTTATTTTGAATATAGTCCCTCTACCTCCCCAACTACTACTTTTTCCTATTTTTCTGTTTTTTCTTTTCCACCTCTTAGTGTTTTAATCTAGCACTACATGATATAGTCACAAGGTCCAAACCTTAAATCCGCCAACCAGACACGAACCAACTATAAAAGTATCTGGTTAACACTATTCAATACAATAATTAAAAAGATCCGACTAGGGTCAAGTTATCTTGACACACATAAGTTACAACCCGACACGACACTACACAATATGCTTGTCATCCATACTTACGAGAAACCTCTTATTTCCCTTTTAATTGTCATTTAATTCGATCAACTATCGGTGTTAGTTGGCAACTTCAATTCCCAAATCACGATGAGCGTTGTGTAGGTTCTTATGGCTTCTATGTTTTATAAGTAGTTATTGTTGGTGATTTGTTATCATCAATGTTATTTAAGTGTAATGGGATTACTTTGTTGACTAAAAATGATCTTGATAAATATTAAACAAGTAAGGAAGGTGTGGAGTACACACTTGTTTAAGTTTGATCAAGTATCAAAGTACACTGTCATTTAAGGTCGAAACCCTGAACGAACGGGGGTCCGGGGGCAGCGCCCCTGGGAGCGTGGTCCAAGGGGCGGCAGCCCCTGGCGGGGTCCAAGGGGCAGAGCCCCTGGCTGAGATCGAGCTGACCTGGGGTCAGCGCGGAAATTTTTTATTTGGGTTATATTGCTGTATTAAAAATGCATCAGAAAATCCAAATTTTGAATATTTGACCCGGTTTTGACTTTGCATTAATCCTTATACCAAACCCGGATTTATAACAGTTTTGACTGTTGAGAAAACTGTTATATGACAGTTTTGACAGTTTTTCAAACAAGGAATGTATATAACCAATTTTAGTCAGTTTTCTGGTACTCACGAAAATTACACCATCTCATTCTCTCTTTCTTTCTCTTTGATTTTATCTGAGTCTTATCCAATTGAGGATTTGGGAGTACCACCCAAATACTTCGATTTGAAAGTGATTATCACGATTCTCAGATTTCCAAATACCACTAAACCATATTTCTAACAGTTATACATACCAATCAAGAAATTTATAACACTAACATCTTCTGTAACGAGTTAATCATATGGATTTTCATCTTAGTAAAGATAGGTTGTCATCGCTATTATTATTGATTTTAAATGAATCACTAGAGAGGGTCTTTACATAATCAATAAAAAAACTAATCATGAACTTCATAATTTAGCATCCTTATTTGAGTTATAACGTTTTGCATAGCATAGGAAAAAAATTATGTACTTCTTGCTTTTGAAAAGGTTATAATTCACCGATTTAAATGTTTCCAACACCTTTCACCTTACAACTCAACTATACTCATAAATATTATTCTTAAATTTATATTGGTTCCTACAAAGAGTAAATACCATTTCTGAGCAACCCAACCAAATAATCACTTACCGATATATATTAAATAGACAAATTATAATATTTGCAAACAAAATATATATATATATATATATATATATATATATTATATATATATATATATATATATATAATATATATATATATATATATATATATATATATATATATATATATATATCCCATAATCCTTACGACAAACATACAGGCACGGATACCCATAATTTATCATCTCAAGATTTTATTTTTTATTTATTTATTACTTTATACGGTTTTTTTCAACATGAGTTAGAATTGATCTAAAAAATTAAGTTTAAAATATTAAAAAATAAATATTTAATATTTTATTTAATAAAAATAAATTTGTTTATTTTAATTTAATGTTTGATAAAATTATAAAAATAATTGATTATTGTTTATAAACTATAACTTATAAGATGGCTTTGGATAAACTAAAATCGAACATCCAACAAATTTTAAGAGGTTTATAAAGCTTGTTAAAGAAAAGTATTCTAAATATATAGTTAAGTATATCAAAGGCTAATTTTTAATTATATATATTTATATTTATTTATGGTATTTTAAATTTATAATGTACAGTTTATCACCTATTGTTAATTTATAAATTCTTTTATCAATAAACTATTTTTTCAACTAGTTTGTTAACTTGAGTTGGTATTGGAGTCTAATATAACATTTGTTGAAAATTTTAATACCATTAATCAAACTTCAACCAAGAATGCTTTATCAAATGTAACTTCGATGAGTAAACGGATCTTTATAATTAATTAATAGATTTATAAAAAAAAATATACAAAAGATAAAACATTGAAATCCAATAATATGATTTTTTATCAGTTTTAGTAGAAGATGATAAAAAGTACACATATCATAATAAAATGTTTTCCTTTAAATTTAACAATTATTGGGCGAAAAACTGACGGTCGATTTAGTCAAGTCGTAACCGACACGTGTCCCTTGCTGCTGCACATTACCGATGATCGACAGTGATGAATCTGTCGGAGCAAAGGCAAGACAAAACTTCCCACGTGAATCCACCGGAATCAGGTAATTCTCTGGTTTTAACGGCAGCGTTTTACCTCCGGTGAACGTCAACCCCACCGTCGGGCACCGCCACTCTCGTCAGCTCTGAGAAATCGAAACAAGTATCGAACAGGGAAAACCCTTCGGTGGGTTTCAAGTTTCTTGCTTGCCGAGTGAAGGCGTCGCGCAGAGAATTGTAGGCTTGAGACTGCAATCGGGTCACGGCGGTGCCGGAGTCGACGATCACCCCACCTCTTCCGGTAGCGTCGACGGCGAAAATGTAAGGGGGAATGGAAAGGGGTCGTCCACCCGACGGTTATCCCGGTCATTCCGACGTATAAATAAGTCTTCACTCTTGGGTTTCGTAACAACGGCGCGGTGACAGAGTTCGCCGGTGGGGCGGAATTGAATTCCAGAGTGGAGGAGGTTTTGGAATCACGATCAACAAGACAGTACGAAAATGACGTCGCTTTGATCTGTGAAGGTAAAGATAATGGCCCACCGCCAAGCGCAAGAAGCCCTCCGGCGCCGACGAACAACCCTTCGTTATCATGACCGCAACCCATCGCTACCTTCGGAACGGAACCGGACTTCCCAAACGTCACCGTCTCCGTCACGAAATCGCCGACGGTGAACGACCCGTCTCCGTACGACACCTGGTACAAACAAACATCGTTCCGGCAGGCGGTGATTTCCAGCGACGAGCACTCCTGAGAGCCGCAGGCTAAAGTACCATAAGAAGTCGACGCCGAAGGGTTATAAATCGGATCCGTTTGCTGGTAGCAATCGGAGCAAGGCTGACATTGAAGCCAATTGATATCACTTCCGGTGTCGATAACCATGTAGTACGATTGCACCGGCGTACCCAATCCGACTCTAGCAAAGTACTCCCCACTTCCCTGAGATATCCCGGAGGAAACCGGAGTAGAGAAATCCTCCGGTTGCAACATCGACTCAGTTTGAACAACCGGTTTCAACTCCGACTTATTGGTTCCGGCGAGTGCGAAATTGAGCTTCGTCGTGAGCGAGGTGACTCGGTGCGAGTCGCGAGCGAGTCTTGAGAGGGTTAGAGATTCGTAATCATGGTGGTGGTGGTGGGTATGGTGGATGGAGGATCGAGGGTGAAGTGTGAAAGACAACGAAGAAGATGTCGATTCATGTGTGGTTTTTTCTAATTCTTGTTGGAGTAAAGTGGGGTTCAGGAGGTCGAGAGTTTTCTGGACAGAGGACGCGACATCGAGAGTGGTGTACGTGGCGGTGGCGGTGGTGGTTCCGGCGGCGTAGAACGTGAGTAAAGAGAGAAAGAGAAAGAAGTGAGAAGCCATATCTGGTTTTTGGGTTTGAGTGAAGTGAAGAAAGAAGATGGGATTTGTGTTGAGCTTTTATGCTGAAAAAGAGGAGCCGTGACGTCACAGTCTTCTGGTATGGACAAAATCTTGTAAAAATATAATTTAATATTTAATTTTGAAGGTCAAAATAAAGATTAATAAAAATAATTAATTAGCTGTAATTAGCATATATTCTTTATTAAAATATAAGGGGTATAAAGTTTATGAATGCAAAGTAGTACGGTCGGTTTTCTTTTGGATGATTTTTTCCTTAAAGAAAGAGAAACATTTAATTTAGTAAAGAGTAATTAAGGATTACCCTAATAATAAAATAACTAAAGAAGGTTATATGCTTATGATGTAAACTTTAATGGACTCTTATTATTCTTATTTAAATAAATAGAAGTACATTGGTGATATGTGTCAATTTGAAACACATGATAACTTATATTTGAAAAAAAAAACATATCTCTAAAAAATTTATTAGATGCAGCACTCTTAAATATTTATGAACCAAATTGATGTGTATACAATAAACTTTTGTCATATATAATAATTTTATAGTTTAGATGGGTGTACAACATAAATTGTCGTCTAAAACAAAATATTATTGTGTATAGATCAATTCACATTTACAAATCATGATGAAGGCTATAAATTATATATACATAGATATATATATAGAAAAAAATCGATTAAAAAACTAAGAGTTTGAGTATTGTAAAGAACATGAATGTGTACCTTTTTACATGCTTTTCTATTGTCCATTTTCGTTTGATTAATTGCATGTTCCATGTGGGGTTTTAAATATATATTGTCTCTAATATGATTATATCTTTTTTTCGAATTTGATTGGTTTTCTTTTGGTTTTAGATTCTTAACGATCCATTGTTTTTGTTATTCATTTGGACGTATATGATGGTGTATTTGAATGGATTTAAGTCATTTGACTAATTATGAAACCTTGTAATTACAAAAAAGAAACTATGGAAATGTGGTTTACATTGCTACTATTAGTTCCAAAGAAAATCATTAAAAATAAATATGAAGTATAATGAAAATAGTTACAAACTACCAATGTTTAGAATGTCATTAACTTGTAACGATTATTATTATCGTTGTTCGTCTAAATAAATCTGTTTGATCGGACCTGGTTAATTAAGTCATACTTATTTCGGTTTGATAATATAAGCTTTAATCCCGTTAGTATTGTAAAGAGGAGAACATCCCTAATTGAACTCATGAGTACATGTGGTATTCTAAATGAGTACATAGTAAAGTAAGTTTTCTTGTACAAAAATGTTTATGTAATTGTTTTAATATTTGAACAATTGATACTCTTATTTGTATGGTGGGAAAAAAAAAAAAGGCATATCTTGTAGTTTTATTATAATGGCTTTAGCATGTCATATGTGTTAGAGTATCTAATGGGTAGTTAACCAATGACTGGTATAGATTCCCCATATGTGTAGAAGTGTCTAGCTTGTAGTCAACAATCAAGGGGTATATATTCCCCATATGTGTTAGAGTATCTACCTGGTAATTAACCAGCAAAGGGTATAAAGTCCACATATGTGTTTAGTAACGACTTTGTAATTAATTGGGAAAGGGGTATCGATTCCGCACATGTGTTAGTGTTTGTAAATTTAAAGTAGTATCTAAATAATTTTCATATCCTGAGAAAGGATAAGAAATTGTGACATCCCCAGAAGGGATAAGGATTTTTTATATTTCGAGAAGGGATAAATAATTATTATATCCCGAGAAGAGATAAGGAATTGTGATATCCCGATAAGGGATAAAAAATTGTGATATCCTTAGAAGGGATAAGGTCTTTTGATATCCTTAGAAAGGATAAGTACTTATCATATCCCGAGAAGGGGTAAGAAAATTAAGATATCCTGGGAAAGGGTTAAAGAAATTGCAATATCCCGAGCAGGGATAAGGTTGATAATGTTTCGTGTGGGCGACTAACCTTAAGGCTTAGATCGGTATATAACCAAAAGGACTTATGTGTTATACATATATGATAAGGAAGGCCCGTAAGGCTTGTTATCGTTTTAATCATGGTTCTAAAAAATGCGTCATGGTACGCCTCAAGGCGTGACATGGCGCGAGGCGTGGTGTAGTCGTTACGAAAACGTCCAAGACGAGTTTGTGAAGCGTGATGCCCAAATAACGCGTCAAAACACACCTTATCGCGTTATGGCGCGAGTTTTTTTCAAGGCACAAGTTATTTTTCTTTGGTTTTTCGATCGGACCTAAAATAAATGAGTTTTTGTTAACTTTTTTCTATTAGATATTAATATAACACTTCTAAAAACTTCATATGTTTGATAAAATTCAATAATTATATGATTTATATCTTTTAATGTATATAATATAGTCACGCCTTGAAAAACATCATGGCTCGCCAAGGCTTATCATGACTTAACTTTTACCTTGCCGCCAAGTCACGCCTTATATTATTTAGAACCTTGGTTTTAATCATGCTTATTGTGTATATACGTATATGATTTTAAGAATGATAAAATGAGAAGTTTTATCTATTGCTTTTATAATATACTGTTATTGATTCATATGATTTACACGCCTATTTAAAAAAGTTGTAACGACCCAAATTTACAAACATTTTTATTTTTTTATTTTTAATTAGTCAACCATACTTCATAAAACATGAAAATCCCAATAATTGTTTTCAAAGCCACCAATATTACAACATTATTATTTTCAGAACATCAGGGTATCCCCCAACCCATATCGAAAAGGAGAGATAGATTGCACGCCGTATCATCACGCCTTGCCTTTACCTTTAGGCTCCAATG